GAAACCCAATTTTTCATAGTCATAAAACCCACTTGCACCCTTGAGCAAAGTTGTGCTCCTTGACCTGAGGAACACAACCACGCCCATCGCAGCCGATGGAAGCCATCGCCTCCACCGGAAAACCCGTTTGAAGCTCACGGTTGGTTTGAAGCTAATGCAAAAGATCCAGAAAAATTGGTACGCTCATCCAGAAGATGTTGTTGAACCTTATTGGGTGCCGATGTTGTTGAACCTTATTGTGTGCCCAACTAACATCTCGCATATCCATTTGTCCCCAATGAACGCTGAGGTCATGCGTGGTGTTCGATGAATAGGAGAGCGATAATATTCTAATGACCTCACTTTTGGATGAGGGTTTTGGGTCTTTCCTTTAGTGACTAATATCTAGCCTTAAAGATGACAAAAATGAAAGAAAAAAAAAAGAAGAGAAGAGGAGGAAGAAAGAAGAAACCCAATTTTTCAGAGTCATAAAACTCACTTGCACCCTTGAGCAAAGTTGTGCTCCTTGACCTGAGGAACACAATCAAGCCCATCGCAGCTGCTGGAAACCATCGCCTCCACCGGAAAACCCGTTTGAAGCTCACGACCACATTGCGATTTTGCACAGAAAACCCTTTCAAAACTCGCCTAAATTGTCATATTATGCTCCTTAGGTCCTTAGGAGACCAAGCCAATCATTTTTCATATTCCTCCCGGCCGTTAGCACCTCCTCCAAGCGAAGCCGAGCCAACTCCGACGAACTTCCAACCCGACGCGAGAATCACATCAAATCTAGGCAACAAGGACTTGGATAAGCTCAAAAATGTCTACTTATTCAAACCTAATTGAGGACAAACCTCTTAGGCACAGGTATATGTCTTACATCAAATTGATAATCCCAAAATTCTCTCCCTTCCAGATCGAAAAGTAGATTACAAAACACCCAAGTATCCATATGGATGTGATCTACTCTTTGAGCTCAATAAAACGAGCCCAAGAATGCGACATTTGGTTGAAAATCGGTGAATAACAGACTCCGAGAAGTTTCAGCCGTTGGTTCTCCTCTGTGCGTCGCAGCTCTTATCGCGGGAGTGAGGGAGATGACACTGCAGTGTTTATTTATTTATTTTATTTTATTTAAGAAATTATAATCAAACTTCAAAATTGCATATCTTTTTATAGAAAACTCAAAAAAATAAACCGAAAGATGCTATGAACTCAAAAAAATAAGAATTTGTCAAAACTGAAATCACGATTTTTCATTAAGTGAATATTTTTAAATTAATTTTTGAATTTTTAGAGTATTTAAATCATAAAAATTAAAATATAAATGAGAAAAATATGAAATTTGGCAGAGATATTAAATAACCTTAGGGAAAACTTCTTTCGTTTTTTCAAGACATAACCTTAGGGAAAGCTTCTTTCGTTTTTTCAAGACATTTTAATGTCTATATATTTGTATTTTGATTTTTGAATGAAACGTCATATTTATGTAAATTAAAAATTATAAAAATTATAAAAATTATAAAACTCTCTTTGATTGAACGTTTGACCATAAACAGATGTTTAACAATTTTAAAATAATGTTTAAAATAATTTTTATAACTAAAACACGTTAATTAAAGTTCAGTTTTAATTTAGGCTAAGTTTACCTAACCCAAGCTCAACCTAAGTCCAACCTAGCCAATTCTCTTTAGGTCCTGTTCAACCTGATTACAAACCTGATTAGCCAACTCAAGGATTGAGTCAATCATCCATTAAGTCTAATTTTAGTCATTTAGGGTTTTAAGCCAGCCAGTCTTTAGACGGAGCCTAGGAAAACTTAACCTTTAGCTAAATTCAATTTGAATAGTTGAACCATTTTAAACTTGAGATTTAAGTTATCTTATCATTTAATTCGGACTATACTTCTTGGATTTTAGGGTTAGTCAACATGAACTTTAGTTTAGTTTAACCTACATATTAAGTTCATCCTAAACTAAACCTTAATCTTAGGTTAGCCTTAACCTAGACCATTAGGATTAGTGATCCTAACCACTAAGATTAGCCAGACTAAACACTAGGATTAGTTAACCTAAACCTTAGATTAGTTAACCCTAAACCAATAGGATTAGTTAACATAAACCTTAGGTTAGTTAATCCTAAAACAATAGGATTAGTTAACCCAAATCTTAAGTTAGTTAACCCTAATTCATAGGATCAGCTAAGCCAAAACCTTAAGTTAGTTAACCTTAAACCAATAGGATTAATTAACCTAAACTTTAGGTTAGTTAACCCTAAACCAATAGGATTAATTAACCTAAAACTTAAGTTAATTAACTCTAATTCAATAGGATCAGTTAATTTAAACTTATGTTAGTTAACCCTAAACCAATAGGATTAGTTAACCGAAACCTTAGGTTAATTAACTCTAAACAAATAAGATTAGTTAAGCCTAAACCTTAGGTTAGTTAACTCTAAACTAATATGATTAGTTAACCTAAACCTTAGGTTAATTAACCCTAAATCAATATGATTAGTTAACCTAAATCTTAAGTTAGTTAACTCTAATTCAATAGGATTAGTTAACCTAAACCTTAGGTTAGTTAACCCTAAACCAATGGGATTAGCTAAACCAAAACTTTAGGTTAGTTAACCCTAAATCAATAGGATTAGCTAACTAAACCCTAAGTTAGCCCTAAACCAATAGGATTAATTAACATAAATCAGGATTAGTTAACATAAACCCTAGGTTAGTTAACCCTAAAGGAATAAGATTAGTTAACCTAAACCTTAGGTTAGTTAATCCTAAAGGAATATGAATCAGGATTAGTTAACATAAACCCTAGGTTAGTTAACCCTAAAGGAATAAGATTAGTTAACCTAAACCTTAGGTTAGTTAATCCTAAAGGAATATGATTAGTTAACCTAAACCCTAGGTTAGTTAACCTAAACTTTAGGTTAGTTAACCCTAATCCAACCCTAATCTTTAGGTAAAACAAACCTGAATCATAGCTTAATCTTAAAGTAAACCTACCCTAAACCTTAGGTTAAAAACCTAACCCATAGGTTTAACACAGGAGAACCTTTTAGGTAAAACCTTAAGCCTAAGTTAAACCTAAACCCCTCAACTTGAACATCAATTAAGAAATAAAATAAAACATATTGGGAGGGGTAAAATTTACATAAAACACATTAAAACTTAAACTTAAACTAAAACAAATACAACAAGGCTTTAAAGCATGTCTTTGAGGTTAAGTCAGCTTCAAAGTCGTCAACTTCACATAAGTAATAACAAGTGA